TTTAATTGAACTGGTATATTGCTGGTAAATCGGAACAATTACGATCAAGCACAGCAGGAAGAATATTCATTTTTTCTCTTGTGTTCCTAAACTTCAACACGACCTACTGCAACAATTAGCTGGTATGCTTCTCTTGCTGCCTTTTAATAATGTGCTAGCATTCCAGGAGCTTCACTCAACAGACAGACTCTTAGAAAAAAAGTCCAGCTCATTTTCACAAAAGCTTTCTACCTTTCTTCTGAAACTGTGAAGACCTCTTCTGTGTTGCTTTATGAAAAAAAGGAAGCACCAGGAACCACAGGTAAAATAGAATAATTATTAATTTTAAGCAACTGCCTACAGATACTACAGTAGAAGGATATCACAACTTCTTTTATTGCCTTGTAATTTCTACAGAAATTGAATGCATGTGGGTTATAAAAGTGAGTGTGGTATTTCCTGAACAGAAGCATAAATGGAAAAAGCAAGAGATTTTTTTAGCTGTTAGGTGAACTGTAAATTTATTATTTTAACTAGTAATAGATCTTGGGATCTGTGGATACATTTCACTTAAAAGAGTTTCTGTTCTATTGCAATAGAGGAAGCAAAATATTAATTTGATTTCTGTACTTAGATATGGCAATCACCCTCCACAGAAGTGCTGGACGGGTCCATACATGAAAACAAGAACCACTTTCCATAAGATATGGCAACTGCCAGTGTCATTTTGGAGGACGGCTTGGGAGAGAGACCCAGACTATTGGACCTACAATTGCAGAAACCTGGAAGTAAACTTAGCTAAAGAAATTAAATCTCACTGCAATTATTGACTATCTCACAGGAATCTATGTGAAAGATTTTCATTTATGGATAGCAGATGGTGAAAAAAGGGTTAAATTTCTTGAAAGAGATAATTTGGTTATTTGATATTGGCATGGAAGTTGCCTATTAAATTATACAAATTTGCAAATGGAAACAGACATCAGTTTTCACCCAATCTTTAAAAATTCAGAACTATTTTATAATTTTAATATATCTATTCTACTCATTCTAGCAGAACAATGAAAAATATGAAAGACAGAAAATGAAATTGAATTTTTCTTGGTCAGCTGACATATGGTGAATTTTCTGTTGACATTACATGCAAATCTGTCGCAGCCACCCTTGAATAGTGGTTATAGGAGCCCTAAGGCTGAGCAGATAACCTTTTAAAAAATAGAATATGTGAATGGATATAAAATAATTTATCCTACTATTTGAGCAGTAAGCCAGTACCCAATATGTCCATTACAGTCACAGTGAATATCTAATGTATAACAATCTCTATTCAAAACATCGGCTGAAGAACAATTCAAGAGATTGCTTTTTCTCTTCCTCAAGTTCTTCATGATCTCAAGCATTTAAAGACATTTAAACACTTCAGACAAAGAAGAAGTTTAGATACAGAAGCACAAAGTCTTTTCATAACTTTTTTTCTAAAAGCTTTGCATGAAATTTATATATTTGCTTGAAACTGCTCTTCTGCTAATCAGTTGCATCCATAGACAACATTTCCTCTTTCTTTGTTGTAAATGATTTGACTATGAATTACAGCTCTGACACATTCTATTCAATGTGACAACATTCTTAATTCTAGAGACAAGAAGCTCTGGCAGTCTTCTGATGATCTATTCATATGAGGTTCTTTTACATAGTTTTGCATTTTTACGGAAAAAAAAAACAACTGTTTGAATTGGAGTATCAACTCTCAAAGAATCTCCCCCTCAAGAGTTAGGTTACCCAAACTCTGATTCTTATTCTGGTAATTGTCTTCTCTTGGAAGAATTTCTACTCTTTTATAGAAAACACCCCCAGTCTGAATGGATATATTGGTGTGAAGGAAGAACCATCATACCCAGACTCCACTAAAGGCATTCACGGTCATCATCAGCATTATGTTATGGTAAGTAGATAAATGGATATCTGTTTCTTAAGTCTTGCACTTCCCTTGTGACCATCAGTATATTCAACTGGTGCACTTAATTCTGTAGAACAGAAGGAAAAATTTATATTGTGCTTGACATTTTTGCCTGTTTTTCTAGAGAGAAAACTCCATGTTGATGTTCCATTAACAGCTGTGGTATAAGATAGATTTTTTTTTACTACAATATATTAATTTTTTCAGGTGTTTATTACCACTCTTACAGACTTACACTCTGTGAATTCTGTGACTTCCTTTTTAGAATACCAACATAATTTTCTGGTAACAGCTGCCTGAATATGAACCACAAACACTAAGCAAATGAAAAAGGCTGTGTAATGTTTAAGAGAACCAGCTTTTAGATGATGATTAGTGAACTGTTTCTGCACAGATATGAGATAAATCACAGAGCAACTGCAATGTCTCAGCACCCCTCATGATGGTGTGTTTTCCTATTCAGAAATTCTGTGAAAACCAATAGTCATTACACATATGACAGGTGGAAAGAGCCCACAAATTTATAGTAGTTGTACAATTCCAGAAGCTGGTGCTCAAACTGGTAAAAGTAACAACTACATCATGTATTATGTCAAACTAAATTTTAATTGATATACTTCATTTTTCTTGAGAGTTCAACACACACAGGGTAGAAAGATCTAAATTGTTGTCTAATGCTTCTCTGACTCTCTAATTTTTGCCCCTATCTAATGGTTCCATAGTCTAATTAATATATATGATCTATTAGTAAAAACTAGTTTTCAAGTTTTCAAGATGATTGTTTAAACAAGGTATACATTGTATATTTCATATATATGGCAAAATCACATCAGTTTTAAGGGCTGTGAAGGGAAGGTGTGATGATGTGCATTTAACCCATAAAAAAAAATCAGCTTTGTGTACTGCACAGCACAGGAAAATCCCTGTCATTTCTCTGTAGGTGGCACATCCTTATCATGCCAATTAGCACAGGGGGGCTCGTGTGAAGGTGACAAACTGAGATGAGATATGTGAGATGATGTATCTTTGAATGTATAGGAAGCAAACAACACAGATGAGTCCACATGTGAATCATGAAAGTGAACTCACAGCCATCAGTCAACAAGCAAGTATAGCCTGTAATGACAATATACTCATAGCGATACTGAGAAGGAGCACAGCTCTCACAACTCTTTCTTCAAAGTCAGCAGATCAAGTTGTGAATAAAAAAAGAATACAATACAATAGTGGGCAGCAAATAAGTTATGGGGGGGAGGAGGAAGAATTAAAGGTTTTGACTCAGAAATGAAGATTTTAGAGTATTATGTAATTTTATTGAAATATGCTATCACATCCAAGCAAGGATCCTGGAAAAAAAAATTTAAAAAGGACTCCTACGTGTTTTCAGCACCATCATTCAAAGCCACCTTCACTGAAAGTGGATCAGAAAAGCAGGATACTGTCTAGATCAGCAATCACAATTACTAGAGTGCCAAGGAATGGAAGGTCATTGGGCAAGTTCCCCAATGTGCAGCATATGCTGTGGTCATGAAAGCTGAAGCCTCATGACCTGCTATGAACACAAGCTGTTCCCAACTAGCGAGCGATAATTTTCTGTATCATTTACAACAAATACTAAAACCCACCAACACAGTGTGAAACTATGCCCACCTGCTTTCTAGGACATATTTGCATATTTGCTAGTTGAACAGGCATCATCAAAGAATCACTCTGTAACAGATTTTATTGAGAAATTCTAGAAGCATTTAACCTTAAGAATTAAATTCGGACTTAAAGTTCAAGAAACATGGGTTTTTGGAATGCTTGTCACCCTTTTCTATAACAATTTTATTTCACATATAAATCATGGGAGTTTTGTCATTGTCTCTAAAAGAAGTAAAATCACACCCTACTTTCACAACCTTTCACAACTTTCACAAATATTAGACCATAGGAAATTCAAAACTGCTTTTCTCCTCATACATGAAATCTTCAATAATATATAAAACTCTATTTTCCTGTATACTACAGCTTTTTGACTTGAACACCTGTGTTTCAGAAAAACTAATTCTACCAGTTTGTATTGAGGTATATGCTTCCTTCTAGCTGGTTCCTGACAGTACTAGATCTTAAGAAAGTATCTCTCAAGTGATTCAGACTGGAAAACCATTGTATGTCAAATAGTGATTTATATAATTGTTTGAATGACCAAAAAGAGGATTTGCATCCACAGACAAGATCTGCACAGCATGTATTGCAAAAAACATATTTGGGGTCAATCAAATGCTGCATGAAAGCAGGAGTCCCAGACCCTGGAGGAATACAAGATTTACATGCTGTCTGCATTTCTCTTTTTACTTTATCTTCTTAAAACGGCTGGTTTTTTGAGCCATTTGCTGTCAGATCTGTCACTACCAAGATCCAGAAAGAACCCTGCACCATCTCCTTCATTCATAAACACCCTTTGCCTTGGTACAAAATTAATTCTCAGGGTTTCTCTTGACTCACCTGACTTTTATATTTTTCTGTTCTTCAAACAAAAATGGATTTGCAGTGCTATGAAGCTGATTAATCTTTTGCCCCAAGAAAATAGTCAAAATTGCTATAGTTGCTGAGCTTTAGTTCTGAGTAATTTACTCCCAGAGACAACAGTTTGAAGGTTCTTTCAACTTTTGGTGAAAATATGATTTATTACTACACTGTTGCTGAGGGGCTACTATATATTCCAGCCTAACATGACCTAAGCTACCTAACCTTACTCACTAAGAATCTTCAAAGACAAACTAGTTGAGAAAATACTCAGTTAACTGGAGAAAGTCTTGACAGCATAGAAGTTAACACTCTTTTGATAGTCAGTGGTTAGATGACAAAAAGATCAGGCAGTATAACAGAACACAGATTTCAAAACAAGTTACTAACTGGTTTTTTTTCTTCCTCAAAGACTCACTTTCAGCAGAGGGAAGATAGCTTAAGTGTCCAGATTCTGAAATATCATTGCAAAATGCACAGCTGACAAAGTTCAGAAGAACACAGATTTCAAAACAAGCTACTAACTGTTTTTTTTTTCTTCCTCAAAGACTCACTTTCAGCAGAGGGAAGATAGCTTAAGTGTCCAGATTCTGAAATATCATTGCAAAATGCACAGCTGACAAGGTTCAGGAAGGCTGGAGAATGAAGACTGCTAAGCAAAATATATCAGCAGACTCCTTCAGATTAACCTAGCACTCCATTAAAAGGGTTCCTTGGTTAGTAAAAAGACATTTCAAAAGAATTATTATTTGGGGAGCTTCACAATCAATCATGCTGATAGATGGTTTCATTTGTCTGAGAGAGGACTGTTTCAGTACTGTGACAGGGCAAAAAGGAACAACAGCAAATTCGGCTGTGAGCCACTTGGCACAGTGTTTCAGCATATGCTGCTCTGCATCACAGTTTTGGAAGGACAGAAAGCTCTTAGAAAAGTAAGTGGACAGAATCAATCTCATATGAGGCAGCCAAAGACATAAATGCCATTTTCATTTGAAGATTTCTTCTGTAAAAGAAAACTGATTCTCTCCATTAGGCAGTAGTCTTTGCTAATAAAGTAACTCGTTTTGTTCAAGCGTTCATGGAGTAATATTGAAGTGGCAGATTTCCTTACTGAGAATGTCCTGAGCAAGTAAGCACTGAATTAACTACAGTTACAGACTAGGCCACAAACTCTTGTGCACAGAAGGATTCAGAATTAAGCTACATCGCAACTACACAGTTTTCACTCAATGCAAATGATGATGGTCTTTAGAGAGCAGATATTCTTCATCTGACAATCTGCTCCATGGCCTCTGTAATGCTAGAGACACTGGTCTTTAATGAAGCCAGTGCCACTATAGGATTCATCTGGAGTGATGAAGGTCAGCTACATCACTCTCAACATGCCTCCTACCAGCACAGGACCCGAAGGGGAAAAACTAATGGCTCATCAGTGGCACAGATGTGCCTGCAGGAAAATGTCCCTCTGGTTATTTATGGTTCAATAAAGTCATTTACAGAGTCTCAGTGGAGCCAAAGGGCCATAACCAGTCTTGAGAATCTATTTTCTTCTTTAATCTCCACAGGAATTTCCATATACTGTAACTACATTGCATTCATAGAATGTCCCCCTCAAAGAAAAATCTGTTTCATCCAAACCCATTATTTGAAAGAGGTTTCTGGAGGGGGTTTTCTACAGAATATTTCCCACTAAAACATCAGGGTGAAATGAAAAATTGGCATGTGTTCAGTGTAATCTACCCATTTAGTTGGGGCAAAAGAAAGCAGGAACTATAAAGGAGAATGAGATAAAGAGACAGTACCCAATGCCTTCAAGAGTCATCAGAAATATCTGGTGAAGATACAGTTTAATAATAATGTTACTCAAGCAAAATATTCTAATGTATACAAAGGTATTTTTGAAACAATTTTCAATCAGAAGAAAGAAGGTTCTTTATTTTCTCTTTTGAAGAGATTGAGGACAAAAGAACATTATCTCAGCACTTCCCATGTGACAAAATTCCTTTTGCAGATAGTTTCTGCAAAAGACAAGGATTTGCCTTTGGATCCTTGGCAAGGATTACTCTTTGATGACTATAAGCAGAAGTTAATCAGAAAAGACTAGGTGAACCTTGAGATGGATAAAGCTGAGGTATTCAGAAGATGCAAAGCAAAGATGGAAAGAGAACATAGAGAAGTCAGCATACAAATGAAGAGCAGGGCTGGGAAGCAACTGAAAAAAGATGGTTAAAGCTTAAGTAAACTCTTCCTGCTAGTGGTCTCGAGTATTTTTTCTGTCCTAAACCTCCAAACATAATTTATTAAGTATTCTCATTACAGCTACATACTAGTCTAGTCCTAGTACATGATTTAATAATATTCTTTAAAAAATTAATTGCTTAAATTTCATAAGACTTTTTCCCCCCTACTTGAACAGTGGAAAATGATCATTCCCTAAATAGCTTCATATATTTAGGAAACTTTTTACACACAGGTGTACCATCATTGAATTAATCTATTTATCTTCATATTATTTGTCATACACAAAACAGAGTATCACTTTTAAATTGCAAAATATAAAATGTCTGTCTCAAAAGTGTTTTACACAAATTTAATCATCCCTGTCATAAAGTGAATCATCATTTCCTTCAGCCACCACATCATAAGGTTTATACTAAGAAATAAAACATTTTCCTGATTTCAGTATGGATTCTGCATTAACTTTCTCTAAAATGTTAAGATAGATCCTGACACTTGTGCCATATTATATAAAGAAAGGATTTTGATATTATTTATAAAGTTCTGTAATTTAAAACACTCTCCAAATCCTGTGTTGGGTAGTTTTAGCTAACTGTGTTTAACAGAAAAATGTGAACTCATAAATAAAAACATTTTGGTTTTTTACTATATGGTTAATCCACTTAGTGAGACAGTACTAAGTTGATCTATAGTCACAATGCTCCCCAAAATAAAACAACAACAAAATACAGCAAATAAAACCAAGCAAACAAACAAAAAGAAACAAAAATCTTCATAAGCAGGATATATGTGTGCATAATACAGAGGAACCAATAGTTAGTATTTTATATGTAGCACATATGTTCATGATAAACACTTTCATTCTCTACATAATTTCAATAAATCCTGAAGACTATTGTGATTTTCTGAAACAGTGATTAGATTACTCTATTGCAAAAATCAAAAGTAATTTAAAAATATTTTTGAACATTTGTGTGCAGATCTGAAATTTATGTTTGCATTTTAACTTATTAATTATTTACTTATGCATTCAAAAATAAAATAAAATATGGAAACTTTAAAATTGTTAATGATGACAAGAAAATTTAAAGAAAGTCAAATCTGGATCTCCTCCATCAATGAAAACGGTAATGAAACTTCTACATGATTAAAGCACTACCTTTAAATAATGATGCTTTTCAGAAAAATGCATATTCATATTAATGAATAAATTCTTCATTTAATATCTGATATAGATTTTTTTAACCAAATTTCCTACTGGAAAATATTGTGGTAAATGATAGAATTTAGAAAGCTATGAAATGGGCAGAAGAAGCGTGTTGAGCATGATAGAGAATAGGAGAGGTTTTTTGTCACCATTTCTTGTACCACTTATATGATATCATATGGTCTGCTATTTCAATAAAATGAAGGTTCACTGGCCCAATTCTAAATACAGATTTGAAAAACATAATGCAAAGTATAAAATACTAGTTAATATATTTATTTAAGGGTACTTTTTAGAAGTTTACACAACATTACAATTGTTCAGCACATGATATTTGACATAATGACAGGATAGATTCCTCAAATGCATAAATCACAAATGCACTTGCTCAAGGTAGGATACATATTTATACAGGAAAGTGAAGAGTCAAAATAAAGACTGTGCCTGTTCACCTTAACTTATTTTAGCTCTACCCCAAAATACATTAACAAGTCAAACAATCCAACTGCTGATGAGCAGCTGTGAGTTTCACAAACCGTCTCTGGACTTACTAAACTGGGCATAAAATATTGTGTACACTACTTCTAAACAAAAACGTAGGGGAGTCCAATTTTAATTAACAACATAGCTTTCCTGTAAGCACACTAAAGCAAATTCTAGCCACAGAATAACCTTAAATGAAATCAATAAGCATTAAAAATTTATATAGCTTCCAGGACTGGGGTACTAACAGTCTCAATTTGGCAAGGCCAGGGTGCTTTGCTGAATAAGGAATTCAAGATATACATAAAGTTTAGCTGTAATATATTTTACCAAATATGGCCCATAATGATGAATTAAGTGAAAATCAAGAATGTTTCAATCTTTCAAAACTACTTTTAGCTTAAAATTAATTAAAATTCTTTCACAACATTGTTAATGGCACAGATTTTAAATTTTATTTCTTCCCTTGCAATCTGTTCAGCCAATCAATAGACTGGGATTTTAATATTTGGTTCATGTCTTGTAAATTGATCTATGAAAAATCAAAAGTGTTAAAGAGATCAGTTGTAGCCTAAACAAAAATCAAATATTAGCTCCTGAAGAGCATTAGCTGGGGCTTTCTACGATATGAATTAAAACCTGCAGTACTGAATTCCTTGTAAGAAATATGTGGATAAAATTCTTGCACTTTTATAGTTTCCCTGAACAGTTTTCATGAAATCTAGTGCCTAGTCCACAAAGTCCTTCGTCCTTATTTAAAATGAATATGGATTTTGACACATGTTCACAGATGGTTACCTAGGAAATTTCAGCATGCTTTGGACATAACTGTAAAAAGTTATTCTTAGAAGCATTTGCAATTCTAGGTGGATGCTACTTGAGAAATACACATGCAAAAAGGTGAAAAGACTAGCTTTTCTCACCATGGATGTGTCAGTGTCTCCATTACCCAGATCAAATTTAGCTATACTTTGCATAAAGAGGAAGGGTGATTTACCTTGGGTCAAAGAGTCAGTGCTCAGTAAAAGGATAAAATTTTCAGTGACCTTATCTCTTGCTGGCACTTGTCATTGTGGGGATCAATTTAACTTTACAGCATTCAAAGCATCTTTAATTCCCTTTTGCTGCCGCAGCACAACTCCACACAATTCTTTCATTGAGTGCTCTTAGGTCCCCAGTGGGCACTTAAAACTCCCAGGATAATTGTGTAATAGAATACAGTCTGAATGGCTGCAACCTACTGCCTTTCTGGCACTCCACAACAAAAACAAATCAAAACAAATCCCCAGCATCCAAAAACCTCCTTCACTCTTCTACCCTGTAAAGCATGATCATAGGAGACTTCATGGGGTTTTTTATGAGGAAAAAAATGGAAAAGTGTGAGTAGTGTAAATATCTATGGAATGCTAACAAAAATCAGAAAAAAAAAGAGTTTGCCACCAGTATTCAGTACAAAATTGAATTCATTGCATACAGAGTAAAGACTGATTTAAAGTCACTCATAAAAGCAACATTAAGGAGAAATCTAGGTGTTCAGACAAGAAGTTCTGATGTAATATAAAATTGTATACAAGGTTATACCATCCAAAGTTTCAGTTTTTAATATATGGGATTTTTTATCTCATCTGGAAAATCTGGCAAACAGAATTAGATATGCAAGCCATCTACTCAACATATCCTCAAAGTCAAACAGAATAACTAGTTACAGCAGTTCTTCATCATATACTCTTTTAAAAAGTTACTTCTTATTTATTATTTTTATTGCATACAGGTGTTTGCTGGTATACAACAGCAAATTGAATATGTTTTATAAAAACAATTATAGCCCTTAAATATTTTTGAGTAATTAATAACAATTTCATCCATCTTGTTTGCAACCTAAAATGTCGGATTTCCAGGAGAAGCTGAAGGAGAGATGATGAACCCTTTAGTTCTAAAAAAAAAAAACCCTACAAAAAAGTCCTTATTTTGTCATTTAAATTATTTAGGTCAGGGGCTTAACACTAATAAATTGTTCAGTAAAATGTGCACAATTAAATGGCATTTAGAATATTTTAAATATGTATTTTCAAGCTTTCTTTTAAGAAGGTGTAGTCGCAGAAAAACAGGGCTAGCAAGCTAAGTCACTTTAATGCTTTAAAATTATTATCTTCAAAGGGAGGCAGAAGCCCTAAATAAGGCAATATGATGTTTTATCTGATTTGATTCCAAACCTCAAGGTGTGTATGTTCTCATGCTGCACCCAGAAATTTTGCAAACATGAATTTATTTCCCACATTCAGTGAGGCTGCTCAAGCATTTAACTACATATTTACATGTTTTTTGAGGAAAACATATAAATCATCCATCCACTGTTAGGTGACAGGAAAATTAAAGGAAATGTTACTGGTTTAGTATCTATATGTGTGTGTGTATGTATATAAATTTGTTTACTTTTTTCACCTCAACCCCCAGTTCAGAGACTTAAACCAATTCAGGGACCGAAATGGGTATGAAAGGTGTGTTACAGAGACAGCTAGACCCTGAATCAGCAGGTTACACATCACTGTACTGCAATCTAGATGAGCTTTCAAGATTAAGACATTTCTCTAACTAACAAGAATAACTAATGTACTGATTGTGGTGTTTTAAAGTACACAGTCTTGTCTTTAAGTATCTAATTACTGCACATGTTTTGAGATAAACCTGAAAGTATAAATCATGTGCTATTTCCGTCTAAAAGTCCAGCTCTTCTATTTGGGGCTGAGAACAATCTCTCCTTACAGCAATTATTCTGGCTAAACCCTCTTGTTAAAGAGATAGATGACCCAGACCCCTTAAAGTGTTCTTAATCTTATGGGTGGAATTACAAGGAAAATAGTGAATTTTCAATACTGATTATAGAGAGTGTGTCTTTCAATAAGGGAAAATGTATAAAATCAATCCTTGTTGTCTGTCTTTTATAGTGTATCAAATATTACACAGAAGACTTTTTTTACATGCAACATATATCAAAAACAGCAGCTTAATAAATTCGTGAGGCACCTTGATCAGAAGGCAAGTAAGGAATATGAATGCCACTGCTAAGAAAACAAAACCTGCTTGGTACTAAATATATCTCATCCCAATAAAAGAAATCCAGGAAAACTTCAGAAAGACAAACAAACAAAAACAACCCACAGACTTAAAAAATATGTATAAGATTTCTGTCTTTTCAGAGTATAAAAAGAGCAGCCTCTGAATGCATTACTGGAATTCAGAAATGGCATTCTCCCCCTGCAGGTGCATTACATAGAGGTCAGTATAACCCCATAGCCCACTAAATACAGTATTGCTAAGAACAGGCCATATGTTTTGTACTGATGTTGCAAGGCCTCAGAAATTAGCTTTGTCGGAATTACTTTGTACTTTTCTTGACCTGCTTGGAACTTTGGTTTAGATTGTTTAGCTATAAAAGACTGATTAAGTGTCTATGACTAGTTTGCTTTATTTTTGTACAACTGTATTATATAACTGTAATCCTGTATATACTTTTGCAACAAGTAGAACAAAATATTCATGGCTCTAACATAATAGTGTAAAGCAGAGAAATACAAACTTGGCATGACAGTGGAGGCTTTAAAAGCAGCTTGAAAACTGTGTGAAATGTAGAGGAACCCAGGCATGGGATGGTAAGATAAGTGACCCAGGGTTGGCTCTAGAGAGCCTTGACTTGTAAACTCAACTGTGGACAATTAAAGGAATGCAGGGTAACAAGGAGAAAAGCAAGAAGTATCCAGTATATGCAACAAGCTTTCTATGTAGTAAATTCAGCTTTAACATGGACCTACAGATCTGCAAAGAAAGAGCAAAGTTTGCATGGTGTGTTAGAAGAACATAGAAATTACCCTAAGCAGCTCCTACCAAGAGGGAGAGGCAGTTACCATTAAAGTCATATTGCTCTTGTCAATGCACTCAGGATCCTGAAAACTTGCATGTCCAGCTGAAAATGTCAACTGCAAGAAGCCAAGGAGCAGTAGAAAGGTGATATAAATGCAAGGAAAGGCATAGATAAAAAGAAGTCCATATTTAAGCTTAAGTTTAGATCCCTGAAAAATGGTACTGAAAGATTTGTTAGTGTCTCAACATAAGGAAATAACCTTCTAGTTCAGTTAAACTCATGCAGCCTGATGTTCATTTGGAACAGTTTCCCCCACAATCTTCCACACACTATTTTTCCTTCTACATACCCTTATTTCTGGTTTGCATGTACCAACATTTACATTAAAAAAAAAAAAAAAAATCCACAGGGCTGTATATATTTGTACAGGAATTTGAAGAAAAAAGACTTTTATGCTTTGCTGTCTACTTTTAAGATATTTAATCCTAACAGAATTTTATTGGAATAAAAATTTTTATTTCAATATCAAGTAACATGGAATGGAAGAAACACTTGATATAATGCATTTATTGCTATAACAACATACTCTGACAAGACTTCATTATACTTCAGGCTATCAACTGCAGCATCTGTTCACATATCCCTTAAACTGTGAAGTGGGCAATGTATCAGCACAAAGTGCGTTCTAAAACATCAGAGTGATACTAGGATCATCCCTTCTCAAGTGATAATGATAATTTAGCCAAACATTTGCATATGGCCTTTCAAAAAAAAGAAAAAAAGGGAGCAAAAACCCCACACATTACCAGAATATATTGGCTGCTACCTGCAAAAAAAGTAACATGCAAGTAAAAACATTAGAAGAGACTACACAGAATGTGGTTTCTCCATGGAAATATTTCTGCAGGACAAGCAGCCTATAGGCAAAGTAGGCGAAGCTATTCTAGCACCAGGTAAAAAAATTCAAAGCTGAAGGCATCCGTAAAGCTATTCATTTTCACTTTTTTTCACACATATTACAGCTACTTCAAGCAGATCTCAAAATCTGAAAGACTATGGCCTTTGATTGAAACAAGTGCTATTTCCTTACTAACTGTGCTAATTCAGCGAAGTGGTAAAGCTGAGCTGAATCATCATGCAAATCTGTGAGAAGCTTTAAAATACTAGCTGCAAAATGAAAACATTTTGTATTTATTCATAAAGCCAAGAGACTAAAAATCTGAATCTTCTTTATGTCTGCTGAACTTTGGAATAAATTACAGAGCAAGAATAATAATATTAAAAATTTAAAAATAAACTCCAAAGCTAGTATGGTCACAACCATTTGGAATAGAATTGGCTATCTTTTATGTCACATTATTATAATGTGCAGAGAGCACACATTTCCTGATAGAGCCATCAGTTGTGTTTATGTTCCAGTACAAGACATGCACAGCATACTTCCTTAAAAAGTAGCATGTAAGAGAAACAAGCACACAGTCTGCATCAGAATTCTAGCTGCAGAGGACCCTAAAAATATCTACAATTGCACTTCTACCTTCAGTGTAAGTAGAAGTGCAATTGGACTGTAGGTCCATGTTCAGTTTTCAATCTCCTATAAATCAAAACACCTGAATAATAACATGAAGTTAGCCACTATTCTGAAACCCATTGACCACCTTTTCTCACAAGAGAGTAAATGTGATAGAAGCTACACAACCACATTCAAGTGTTGTCCCAAAACAGACTACTACATGCAACCAGCAAGCTCCAAAGAAGTTCTGCAACTTTCAAAGCATGCAAAACACTGAAAAACACCCTCAGCCTTCCAAATGTCAGAGAGCATCCAGGCATAACTCCAGAGACAAGATATCCTTGTTGAACATACTGCTCCAGAAAACGATTCAGAGGAGGAACTTAACCTGTCTTCTTCCTGAAACTGATCCACGTAATTCCTTCTTCACTAACAGTACAAAGACATAAGCCTTCCTTGACTTTTGTTCCTAGAACTATATTTTGTATGAATAGGCTCTGCTTCAGTAGGGAAATATGCCCAGAATATTCAAGGTAAGCATCTTCCATTGCTGCAAATTGTTGGCCCAAAAGTCTTGACTGACCAGAAGGCACTATGATTACACACCAGCATTTCAAGGTTTGTACTTGCATACTCAGGTGCTGAGCAGGCTGGAAACAATGAGGCTGCATACGTCTGATCGCAATTGGCCCCAAACTCCTCAGTCTGCCCTTTCCGGTGTGCTATATGTCTCACTGAATACTCAAAATCAAGAATCAAAACAGTACAACAGAGGAGGGAGAAAGTAATTGTACCCAAATTTTTTTTAAAGGTAAGAAAAAATTAAAGTAAGAACAGTTAAGGAGTCAGTTACCAATTTTTCTGATCAAAATTATGGCAAATTTATTTTCTTCCAGGAAATTAAATTAAAATGTGGTGAGAGTTGATGTAAATGAGTTGTCATCTACAGGAGGACTCATTACTTCAGTAAGCCTAAGGACAAGAAGCTTAAGGACATCTATGGCCTATATTTTCTGGTAAGTTTATTATATGCATTAAGGAAAATAAAAAAGTCAAAAGAAAATATCTTAGAAAAGTGTAGTTCTCCAAAATGTATGGAGAACCCTATTCTTTCTAACAAGTGACTTATTTTCTATGTCTGAAATGTCTTCAGTTCATAATTTATTTTAGGGATTAGAAATTTCTAAAAGTTCAAATGAGTCCCAGTTGTCATGTTATGCCAATGTAATGACATTGTTATGTGCAATATATCATCAAACTGACAATTTTGTAGTACAAAGGGGAATGAAAGATAATGGATTACAATGAAGGACCTTGAAAAGGTAGGTTTCAGAGTTTAATGATTTCAGTTTAGGAAGAAACCCTTTCTGAGGGTTGTTCATCTTATTGTATTTTCTCCTTCATTTAGGCTTAAAATGTTAGTAACAATCTAATCACTACCAAATGTTTCCAACAACTGCATTTTTCATAATGGTCTTGCTTCAAAGCATTCTATATTGCTGCCAATACGCTGGCAAAGTCTCTGAAAATTACAGACATTAAAAATGGTCATTCTCTACATATAATGTTTTGGCCATTGTCCATTTTTTAATACTAAATGAACAAAATCCAATAAATGATTTTTCCTCAGGCTCAAGACATTCTTTCTCCTTAGAATTTATATGAAACCAGTATGCATGATAAGGAAAGTAAAATACATTTTTTCAATTGTGGCATGTACCCAAAATCATAACAGAATGCTGGAAATGTATAAATTTTCTAAATATCTTGGGATAATGCCTTTCCTTTTATTTGATTATATACATACACAGGCATATATCTTTAGCACAAGTGGAACTGCTACAAAAAGGAAGGAAGCACACACAGACTGATAAATAGCCCACAGTCTTGTACCAACTTCCAGCTGCATTTAGAGCTGAAGCTTGTACCAGACTTTCCCACATATCAAGTGCATATTCTAGCAATTCTGAGTTTGTTGCTGAATTTTTTAATCTGAAAATGCTCAGTCTGAAATGTTCCTAAAGGATAAGTTGATTCCTATTTTTAAACACATCTTCATAATTTTGTATATTGGGAAAAGTACTTGGGGGCAAACTGGATTGTCTCTGAAAGCAGTGAATGATCCATAGAATAGTGTTACTGGTAGAGCTTCACTCAATTTAAGAAAACTGTGCTCACTCAGTGTAGCTAAGGACACGAGACTGGGAGTACATCCAAAGTTCTTCCCCTTATCATAATTCCATTTAATTTGAAGTCATTATTTCTCAGGGATCAGTAATGGGACCAGTGCTGTTTAATATCTTTTTCAGCAATGCTGAGAGTGGGATTGAGTGCAAGTTTGCTGATGACACCAAGGTGTGTGGTCTGGTTGAGATGCTGGAAGGAATGGATGATGTCCAGATGGACCTTGACAGGCAGAAGTTGGCCCATGTGAACTTCATGAAGTTGAACAAGGCAAAGTGCAAGGCGTTGCATCTGGGTTGGAGCAATTCCAAGCTCAAAGAGATAGAGGGGGTGAGAATGGATGGAGAGAAGCCCAGAGAAGATGGACGTGTGGGTGTTGGTTGATGAGAGGCTCAATATGAGCTGGCAATGTGTTTTCAGCTCAGAAAACTAATCATGTCCTTGGGTGCATCAAAAGTAACATGGCTAGCAGGGTGAGGGAGGTATTCTTCTCTCTCTCCTCTTCTCTTCTGAGACCCCACTGGGAATGCTGTATCCAGCTCTGGGTTCCCCAGCAAAAGAAGGATGTGAACCTGCTGAAGCAAGATCAGAGGAGGGTCACGAAAGATGATCAGAAAGCTGGAACCCCTCATTTTGGAGGACAGGCTGAGGGAGTTGGGGTTTTTCAGCCTGGAGAAGAGTGGGCTCCAAGGAGACCTTTTAGCACCTTTCCACTACCTTAGGGGGACATACAAGAATGCTGGAGGGACTTGTTACAAGGACATATACCGATAAGACAAGGGGCAATGTTTTTAAACTCAAAGAGGATAGGTTTAGATAGATACTTTACTGTGAGGGTAATGGAACAGATTTCCCAGAAAAGCTGTGAATGCCCCATTCCTGAAAGTGTTCAAGGCCATTGGATGGGGATTGAGACACCTGGTCTAGTGGAAACTCTCCCTGCCCATGGCAGAGTTGTTGGAAGGAGATGATCTTTAAGGTCCCTTCCAAGCCAAAGAGTTCTATGATTCTATGATCAAAGGCATTGGAGGTCCAAAATCTATTGGCTGCAAAAAGCCTGGAAAACTAAACACATCTCTGAAATTCCATTTGTATTGTGTATAGGTGGCAAGATTTTGAGCAACATGAAAGCTACAGGGATGGCTGCTTTGGCAGGAGAATAAAATGAGTCTTGTCCCAGACTCAGCTGGTTTCAGTCTTCTCCACAATGGACCCACAACAGGACAAACTGGAGATTGTTGGTTATTTGTGCATTTCCTCTGGCAGAGCATATTTAAAGAGAGAGGAGAAAGGAGAAAGTGTGAGAAATGATCCTGCAAGAAACAAGGTTTCTCAAGGAGGGTGAAGATGTGCTCCAGGTGACGTACCAGACATTCCCTTGTAACTCTTGGTGAAGCAATTTATTTCCCTACAACCCAAGTACTTGACCACATTGGAATAAATATTCATCTTGCAGCCCTCAAAGGACCGAGCTCTGGCATGTTGTTATTTCCTTTTAAGATTAAGATATAAAATAATGTATATTTTGTGTATATATTTTCAGATTCCCAGACCTACTATTTATTAGTCATAATGTGTCAGAATGGGAAAAGTTGCTTTCTAATGCAAGATTCATGATGGTTTTTGAGTTAAATTATTATACTTCCTCGAGTTCTGAATGACACAGATATATAGCACAAGTTTAGGAAGATTAACTTGCTATCAAATATCATACTCTAATTCAAAAATTTATATATTAGGAGATTAGAGGATTGGACTCAAGTCAAAAGGAAGAGATAGCACTACTATTATATGTATTTTATGAAGAATTGCCTTTAGATTTTTCACATTCTTTATGTTTATTTAAATAACATAATTTCTGTACATAGATGTACAAATGTGAACAGGTATAGATACACAAGAGAAATGCTTTCATGCATTAAAAGTATTCACATGTGTCTAGCCCTTGACACATGGTGTTGCATGTCGGGTGCTGTCGCGTGCTGTCACATACTGTGCATCTGGATTTCAGATTACAGCAAGCACTTTTGATTATTTGCATGTAAAAAACTATATTTGGCAGTACATTTTAACTTCTTATAGTTAAGTGAGGCTCAGGTGAGAGATTTTTCTGAATGCTAAGATGCCATTGAAAATGTTAGTTCTCAACAATAAAGAGATTGACCCTTGACTTGCAGTGCTGCGTCATTCACTCTTGTCACTTCTGAACGAATGGAGCGTACCGGGAGCTCAAGACCAGTCCTAAATCAGACTGTTTCAGCCAACTCAGCCCACCTTTATTCATTCCTGTGATTAAACAACACACTAATTCTATCTGGTCCAATCCAGCAGAACCTATTCAAACTCAGAAGATTGCTTTATTGGCATATAGGTGTTTTCTCTCTCCCTTTTAGTCTTCTGAATATATCCACTAAAGAAACTTAACCAATAGCTACCCATTTGATCTTATCAAAAACTGATGTACTTCTTGAAGAAAAATAATATTAGAATATCCAATATTCTGTTCTAATAGAATATTAGAAACTTTGCCAACCTTCTACTGTCATTGTACCACTACAGTGGAAGTACTGGAAGGTAACAAAACTGTGTAGAAAATGTTAACTCTTTAGCAGTTGGGTACTGCTTATCAATTTAAGTCCATGCCACCACAAGAAAAAAAACAAAAACAAAAAAAAAAAAACCCAACAAAAAAAAATCCCACCACATTCGCCAAGAACTCAACTTAGCAATGATGTGCCTTAAATGGTATGAACACATATCAGTTTATGATAAGCGGAAGAAAAAAAAATGAACTGGCTTTCATTTTTCCATTTTTCAAAGTTTTAGTTGTCAATAGCACAACACTATTTCCACAGAAAGAAAAATATGGCCACCTGTTTTTTATTGTCACATGAATAAATCATGCCAAAGATTGACACATTCACAGAAGTGTGTGATTTCTTCTATTCTGTTTTATTTTGGCAGTTGTGTATACTTGTTTATTTCCTGAGGAGAAAATTTGGTCAAGACAGAAGGAATTTATTAGGGTAAGACTGAAAGGGACAAAATAACTGAAGAGAAAGAAATAAAAGGCCTATGAAAACACGGAAAGAAAGCAAATAGGGAAAATGGAGGGATGATGGTGTAAACACCCTGGAGACAAAGGTACAGAACTGAAGCAAGAAACAAATCCACACAAAAGAATGAATGCCCAGATTAAAAACTCTGAAAGTCACCTGGAATTGATGGCACCCATTTCCACTACAGCCAGTATACTCTGCTCATATCAGTTGAATTTCTATGTATTGTAGCAATTGTGGGTTTTTTCCCTTCTCTGATTTAATGGTGCCGGAGTCTTTTTCTCTTCTTTCCACCAAGACCAAAAAGACAGAGTAACTGTTGCAAGTGTTCTTGGTCTTTCATACAGAGGAAGTAAATTGAGCTTTAAAGCTATGCAACAATATTGGTTCAGTTCCATGCTCAATAACAGTTCCATCACAGTCACAGCCCTGTTTTCCTCTAAACATCCTAGTGATTTCCCAATCCAGTATTAGCAGAGCCAGGTATTGCTTGTCTGATGAAACCAGATGCAACAATATCTAGGGTACTGCAGCTGCTTGTGACAAACTGGTTTTTTGGCTGCAAACTCTCCCTGTCTTGTTAGTGACTTGAAGAAATCTTTTTTTGCATATACATATGATCATGCAAGTGAAAGAGTTCCATTCAACATGTTTTGTTCCTGGAATTTTAAAATGCTCAGAGAGGCCTGGCCCTGAGAGTACCTACAACATTCGTGCTATTACATGTTCCATTATATCTGATCCTGTTTAGCAATAGGCTACCCTGGAGTAGAACTAAATAGTTCTGTACTAAATAAAATATGCATTAATGAAAAGATGTCCTTGAAGTCACAATGAAAATTTGATAAATAAGAATACACCAAAAAAACCCCAAAAACCACAAAACAAAACAAACAAGCAAAGTACTTAGTTGTTTAATGAATAAAATAAAATCTATTTAATGAATTTGATAATTTTCCCACTGCAGTATAATGTGAAGTAACTAGGAGATTTTCATTTAATATAATATGCTATAATAACTATACAGTTCTGATTAAAACCAAACAGGGACCAAATTATGAATGTATTAATAATAATGCTTTCTTCATGAAATCCTATAGCATTTTTTTAGCTCCCTAAGGATGTCCCAGAATACATCAGAACTCTCTAGTTATCCAGTGATGTGTAGAAATGATACATTCTGTGTAATTTTTTCTTAGCAAATTAGCACTTACTAAAAATGACATGAATGAAACAAAGAATTAGAATTTAGGAAAATAGTACTCATCAAATTGAATGCAAAAGGGGAGGATGCCAGAGAGGAAACAACCCTGGGATATGTTTTCTGTCATTTCTTCAGCCATTCAACAGATATTTTCTGGATCAATTAAAATGGATAACACCTTTTTACAGATGCATGCTAATTTCCTCTTCTCTCTCAAGCTTGTTAGTATATTTTTGCAGGAAGACTGATGTTAGTGTACTTTTGCAGCATGACTGATCAACTGCTGTCCATGCACACTATTTGGTTACTGATATTTTCTCAACTGAGAAGGAAAACAAAGTAAGACTGGCTTGGTTTACCAGTTTTGCACTGACTACTCATTACTGACTAACATCATTAGCCGGGAAAGAAAGGTAAATTCAGGGAATGGGAAATACCACCCAAACACCCGAGCTCCTGAAAACTCTAATTCCTTCCCTTGGTTCCTAAGACAGAAAGAGTGCCAAAAGAGAACAAAGCAAGGTCAGCAATTAAATAAGCATTCACGTAAGCACTTGAGAGGAAGCACAGTATAAGGGACAGTTGCAGTCTCACCAATTAAAGATACCTTGAGGTCAATACTTACTAAACCATATAAAATGGGCTGAAAGACTAATGACTCAAATCAGCATAAGCAAACTTACATTTTAAAATGCTTGTCTTTACTGCTGTGACAGCTGCTTTATAGACTATTGCATTGTTAAATGGATCAGTATTCCTTTGATGCTGTGGAAAATCTGAAATACACTCATAATCGGAGACTGAGTAAGACATTAAATACAGAACTCATTCAGGCAACTGCTCTCTTTCTTTAAGGACTTTACTGTGAGCTGGTTAACTTCCAGTCCAATAAGGGAATATGATTACGTGTTACTTTTCTGTGTGAGTTATTCCCTGCTATGGGCATAAAAGAGAATGGAGAATGTAGATGCAGCAAATCCATTGCTTTCTCCACAATACAAACAATCAGAAAACAGTCAAATATATAGAGAAAAGGGAATAAGGAGAGTAAATCTCTTAATCAAAGGCAAAACCCATTACAGGAACAGTCATTCTTTCAAAGAAACAAACAAAGTTATGATGCAGTCAGGGAAAAAAATAAATTGTTCTCAGTATTCAAAACTGTTCTCAGTATTCATTAGCAACATACAGAAGAAGCAGGCTTAAATTGCTGTCCAGAAGTTATAGGACAGGCACTGCATCCTTGAACAAATAACTAGCTGAAGGTGGGCTAACAATATATGGGAATTAAAAGCCAGTTTTCACAAAACAAGAACTGAAAGCCCACTGAGTTTTGCTGTCAAGAATATTTATAAAATTATGATAAAATTCTGGTGAATAGAGAGAGAATAAACCCAATATTACATTATTCAAGGTCATAAAAATAAAGGTTGAACGTGAAGAGCTCTAGAAGAACTTTTCAAGAATGGGCAACATGATAGCAGATGAAATTCAACAATCACTGTCTATTAAAAAAACATTTATACATGCAAACTGATTCAGATGCTCCACCCAAACCTTTTATTTTTCTCTTTAGACCATGTTGCATCATCACAAAACAAATGTTCTCTGCCAATATGTAAAATCTGTAAGTACTTCTAGTAAGCAAGAATAAAAAACTCTTTAAAAACAAGTTTATTTTTTTTTTCTGACACCCTCAGCTTGAATTACTAACCGCTTTCCTGCTGTGAATGCAGCCCAAAGCCTTGTTCAGACCACTGCCCCTGTAGACAGAGGGACTCCATTTTCATATCATTCTCTCCTTCACTTGCTAGGGCTGAGGGAAGCAAATATCTATGGTTTATGTATATGCCCTAAAGTACTAGAGAGGATGCTCAGACAGGAGAAAAAACATTGCAAAAATAAGAACAAGAAATGTATATGAACATGAAAGTTTAACTATTTTTCAAAATCACCTTGGGTTTCAGTTTGGAATACACTGTCTAATTACATATAAAAGTATTAATTAAATGCAGAATGATGTTATCTTTTTAATTACTGAATAGTCTTAGAAAAGTAAACTCAGTATTTAAGTACAAAAATATAAACATTTAAAAGAATATATATAAAAATTATTGCAAGAAAGGAAATCCCACAGTTAAGTTTTTCCTGGTTAAACAGGATAATCTAGCAATGTTAACAGGAAAGAAATGCAGATAGAAAAATCTGCATTTTCCACTACTAGTGAAAAAGATTTTGGTTGATGAAAATGTTATTTAAAGGAAAGATTTATGTTTCAAACTATTACCTTTTAAATTACTTTCTTCAAATATATCTCTATTTAGGCTTGTACAAAACAGCAGGAATTTGAAGCATTCTGATTTCAATGGTCTGATTTAGGAGGAAACAGTTGCAGTGAATTATTAAAATTTACTGTAAGCACTTGAATAAATTAATATAGATTTGTTTTGATAGCAGCAGTTGAAATTTGGCAGAGACTATAACGATATGCTGATTTGCTTCTATAAGAGCTAATGCTGATTCATTTGAGATCTTCACAAGACCTTTTATATAATCTTTCTTGAGTATTGCATTTTTTTCCTCCAATGCAGTACAGTTTATTTTAACTATGAATGGATGGTGCAATTTGATAAAAACATATTCCATATGAAGTTGAACCTTGAGGTCTTTTTCCTTATTGTATTTTTGAATTACTGGCATTATGTCCATGTTCTGCTAGGTTCCCTGTTTCTGTTAGGACAGAAAGGAGAACTGATGGTTCTGATGTTGCATGCCCCCCACATTCTTTCCTTGTTCTCCACTATGATTTCAGAAATGCTCATTAGGCCTTGGCCTTGACAAATAGCATCAGAACTAAGCTCCTCTTGAGCCTCTCAGAAACACTGTCAGCTCCCAGGAGCTAGTTGT